ACTCTTTTACCCAGAGATTTGTTCCACTTTTGTTTAAAGTAAAGTTTGTTGGTTATGTAAATGTTATTTGCAATGTTTATGGTAGCTTCTTCATAGACAAGTGATTATAAAGTATAAACCTTTTCTCCACTCTAAGCAAGAATGTACATTCGGTTAAATGACAATTATAATGTGGTATACTATTAAGCATAATTCAAACATAAATTTGAAATTGGTTAATAATATAGTCGTAAGAATCTCTTTCACCATAAGCTATAATAATACAACCCAATCGCAACGGCTACAACTAGCAACAGCAGATCCGTCCGTCAGAGACCAACATCAGCATAATCCAACGGCTGATATTAATTAAATCCAATGGTCAGGATTTCTTTTCTTTACTTATTTTTGACTAGTCAATTAATCTCCCCAATGGTCAGGATTTCTTTTGGTTCTTTACTTATTTTTGACTAGTCAATTAATCTCCCTCCATTTTTGCTTCGTCTTCTTCCTTTTTCCTGCAGAAGAAACTCAGACTCTTGTTTTTAGCACAAAGGTGAACACTTTATGTCTGGGTTTTTTTCTCTCTATTAATCACTCATTTTCTCGCTGTTTCTCTCTGTATTTTGCGTTTTTTTTTTTNTTTTNCCCCATTTCGATTCAAATCTAGGGTTTGATGTTGTTCTTGTTATGTGCGCAGTTCTGGAGATTTCTTTTACATATATCTAAGATTTGTCGTTTCCTGCATTTTCCCGTTGATTTGGTTTCCTGGGTTTAGTGTTCTTTTGAATCTTTAACATTGAAATTTTAGAAAGCCTTCTTCTTCGAGGGGTGTGGGTGTGGTTATTGAATCATTCTACGGTTTCTTTTTCACCTTTGTGCTTTTTGTTCGTCCTTCTCTGGAACTTGGAAGAAGAAGAAAAAAGAAAAAAAATGCTTTCTTTTATGACCCAAATGGCTGTTTTTGCTTAGAATGTGTGTTGGTTTTTGATTTTCTGGGTTTGAACAGTAAGTGTGTTCCTTTTATTTGAATGTTCTTCTGTGTGTTTATTTTCCTGTTAAATCATTTCGTTATATCATATTGGTTTGGGTTTTGCAGGTTTTGCAATGGAGAAAACTATGGTTGAAAATGAGTCGGAGAAACAGAATCTCGGCAAACCAATGGATAAACTCAAAGCTGATGCTTCTGGAATCTTGATCTGCGTCCGTAAATTGAAGGATTTAAAGAAACATAATGAGCTGGTTGAAGCCAATATCAACAAGAGGTCTCTAGAACTAGAGTTAAAGGAGAACAATTTGCAACGTTTGAGCTCAGACCTTGATGAAAGAGCTCGACGTTTTGAGGCAGAGAAGGCTGAAGCTGGTGATTTAAAGAAATTGGTGGAAGAACTAAGGTTAAAGAGAAATGAACTGACTGCGAAGCTTGACATATCGACAAGGATTCAGAGAGAGATCGAGTTAAGGAGTAAACATTTGGTGAAGGTTATAGCTGAGCTTCGTAAGGTTCAAGAACGTCAGAGAGAAATGGAAGATGTAACCGCTAGAAAGACGAAAGATTTGGGATTGGTTCTTGTCAAGATTGAAGAATCTGATAAGCAGCTTCAGGGGATGTCTCGGGAAGTGGAGTTGAAGAACAAGGAGCTGCAGATTTTAAGTGAAAAGAGGGAAAACAATTTAGAAGTAGAGAAGACTGAAGCTGATTTGAAGGTGAAATCTGATGGGTTAAAGAAGGACATTGAAGAGAAAGGAAAGGAACTTGATTTGATTAAGAGTCAAGTCAAATCATGGGAAAGGAAACTCATTCAGGTAAGGAAACTGGTCGATGAATCTACAGCGGAACTAAGTTCAAGGAAAGATCAAGTGGATTCATTGAAGAACATTCGAGGAGAAGCAGAGTTGAAGAAGAAACAGTTGGGACAGACGAAAACCGTGCTTGTGAAGCATAATGGTGAAGAGGAAGATAATCTTGGTATTCTTTCTTCTGTTTCCCCTTCTTCATTTTGATAATAAGTAGCAAAACAGTCTGATTTATAGTTATGCAGTGTCTTAGGAATTAGGATTGGAGTTTCATGTTTAACTTTAACAGGCAAAGTTGTTACGTCATCTGATACTAAGTCCACCAGTGAGCCTAATCATCCTCCAGTTATCTACACATACCATAGAAAGAGAGAACTGAGGAAGCTGGAGAAAATCTTTAAGGGAGCTTCTATTTTCGGATAATTACTCTCTAGGTGTGTAAAATAACATTAGTTATGAAATGACTGTTAGTGTCTTGGATTAAGGTAATGGTAGGTCTTAATGGTCTTTTAAGGCCAATTAGAGGAACTAAGTAACCAGTAGTAGAGACTTGTGATTGGTTCATCATATCAGTGTAGTTTTTGGTAATCGTAATCCTTAAAGACACAATAACCATTTTTATCAACAATAAAAGAACTAAGAACAAATGCAAAAATTTCACATTGTGAAGATGGTTAGTATATAGTTTGAGCGATTGAAGGGTTTTTTTTTCTTCCAGATATTATAAATTCATGGAAAATGCGTCTAAAATATAAAGAGTTTTTTTGGCAGATGATAAAACCATGAAAGCAAATACAAAAAGCTTTGTAAAATCTCACCGAGTTTTAAGGTGTTGTTTTTATTTATTTCTATTGTATATAATCTATCAATTATCAAATTTATACATCATCGACATTTCTTCGTCAATTTCATGTACGTCAGATGTCATTATGTCACGTGTAACCAAAAAAGGAAGTTTATCTCTATATTAATTTAAAACTAGGTGAATACCCGTGCG